CCAAACTGGTGCTCAAGAGAGGCTGCAACTCTGGGAAGGGGCCTCGGAGGCCTCTTGTCCTCTCCAGGTTCTGCTGCTGCTGGGTTGGGGCAGTGTGTTTGAGGTGTGGGGACACTCATGCATTCGTGTACGTGCATCACCTGTCCGCTCTGCAGCCTGTGTGTACCCGTGTCAGCGTCCCTGTGTGTGAGCATGGGTGTGTGTTGCCCTGGGTGGATGGGTGGGTTGGGGTGAGCATTGGCTGCTTGTATCCTTCATCCTGGTGACAGCCTGACCCCCCCATCTCTTGGGCAGGTGGCTGGCCTGTTTCATGACCCCAGCATTGGGAACCCCATCCACATCACCATTGTGCGCCTGGTCCTTCTGGAAGATGAAGAGGTGAGCGTTCATGTGGTCCCACGCTGCCCGGCAATGGCTTCCGCTGCCAGAGCCCTCCTGCACCATGACCTGTGCTGCTCTGTATGGAAGGGCACAGTGAAGGCCTCCTTGGCCTGGACTGTGTCCCCTGCCACCTCCTGGTTCCTGACTGACCCTCTCTCAGGTCCCAGGTCCTCTGCAGGAGGTTCCTACAGGAGGGGTGGTCAGGCCAGAAGCTGGACTGGTGCCTGCCGGCCTCCTACTGCCCTGCTGGGTCTCTGTCTCCTGCCTTTATATGGAGGAGAATTGGGCCTGACCCTCTCAGAACTCAGAGGAGGCATGAGCGGTCATTCTCTCTGCCCCCAGGAGGACCTAAAGATCACGCACCATGCAGACAACACCCTGAAGAGCTTTTGCAAGTGGCAGAAAAGCATCAACATGAAGGGGGACACCCACCCTCTGCACCATGACACCGCCATCCTGCTCACCAGGTACTGCCAGCTGCAGGAGGGTGGGAGCCTGCATCGCAGGGAGGTGCTTCCCGGCCCTGCAGGAGAAGCCCTGGTGGAGGAGGGGGCCGTGCTCTCAGGGATCCCCATTTTTAGGAGAGTTTCCGCACCTTTGGCCCAAGGCTGGATTCTGTCTGCACTTGGGGAGGTCTTTTTATTTTGAAATAATTGTGGATTTTCATGCTGTTGTCAAAAATAATAGAGAGAGGGCCTCTATAGCCTTCATCCATCTCCCCCAGTGGTAAGTAACATCTTGCATGACTAGAGCACAGTATCCCAACCAGGAAACTGACACTGATACCATCCGCAGACTTCCTCAGATATCATTAGTTCCACACGTACTGCCCTTTGTGTGAATGTGTGTGTATTCAGTTCTGTGCAGTTTCATCACTGTGGGTTCACCTACCCACCCCCACAGTCTAGATACAGATCTGTCTCATCAGAAGGATGTCTCGTACTACCAGTTTATAGTCACAGCCACCTTCCTCCCTCCTCCCCTAACCTCTGGCAACTGCTGATCTATCCAGAGGCAGTTATTTTCCCTCTGCTGGACTCTGGCAGCTTCTGTCAGCACCCCTGCTGGATAGTAAGCAAAATTGTTCTGTGCGGGTCTGTGCTCCCAAGGGCCAAAGAGATGCCCAGCGGATTGTGTGTGAATGAGAGCACCTGCTTCCCATGTGGCCACTGTGCTGGCCTCATGCCACAGAACGGTGGGAGGGACATCCTTTTCGCTTGGAATCAGTTCGGGGGGACCCTTCCCTGGCCTTCGCTCAGGTGGGCCTGGCACTGGGCCAGGTTAACCTGAAGGCCGCTTCTCTGCCTGTGCAGGAAGGACCTGTGTGCAGCCATGAACCGGCCCTGTGAGACCCTGGGCCTCTCCCACGTGGCGGGCATGTGCCAGCCACACCGCAGCTGCAGCATCAACGAGGACACAGGCCTGCCGCTGGCCTTCACTGTAGCCCACGAGCTCGGGCACAGGTACTGTGCCTGTCCCCATTGCTACACGGAGAGCTGAGCTTCACCCTTCCAGCCTGGGGGCACCGGGTATCCAGCCTGTGGGTCACAAAGTACAGGGGAAAGGAAGCTCTCTGGAGAAGGAGCCCCGACTGTGGCCATGTGCTGTCCCTGCACTGTCCCCTCCCCACAACCAGGCTGCTTCCCTGTAAAGCAGGAGAGAGGGCTGCCTGGGCATCTCTGGGACTGGCCTGGAGGGAGTCTTATTTAAAGGGGAGTTGTGATGGGCCAGAAAGTCATCGTTGGTCTTTGGCTGTGCCTCCCCATTTCCCTCAGTGCTGTATTTTTTACTCTCGATCCCTGTCCCTGTTCCTGTTTGCTCTGTGGCCTGGGCCAGTGCCTGCCCTCTCTAGGCCTCTGTGTGCTTCCCATAGATTGAGGGGTTTGGATTCAGTGACGTCCAAGGCTCCCTCCATCTGACACCGCTGCCTGAGGCTCCTGCCTTCACAGGCCTCCAGCCACTTGTGCCCGGGCTGTTGAGCTGGCGAATATGGCAGCATCTTAGATTGTCCAGCAAGCTTTCAAAGGCAGGATCCCAGAGGGTTCTATCGTCAAAGCTGTTGGGGCCATCCATTCAGATGTCCGGGTTTCGTGGGTGATGGTTGTGCCTGCAGGACCTTAAAGCTGCCTATGGCTGCAGAAAGAACAGCCTGCCGCAGTACTGCAATTTCCTGGCTGTGTTACCCTGGCTAGTTCCTTAGACTCTCTGTGTCTCCCTGGGGGTAATAATGAGAACTGAGTGAGACTGTGTTTCTGAAAGTGCTTAGCATGGCCCCTGGCACATAGTAGATGCTCAGGAAATAATTTTTCTCGTGTCCTTCCCAAGGATGGTCTCTGGAGACCTTTCTGTGACACAGCAGCTCAGATCCCCTAACTCAAGTGCACAGCCTTGGGACACGGACCTGTGAGTGGGAACCTCTGTCAGACTGTTCTTGAGGCTAGTGAGCTTGCAGGGGCCATCACGGGCCCCCATCTGTGCCACCTGGTTTGCCATTGCTGGCCAGCCCCCAGGCAGGGGCAGGGCTGCTCTGGGTCCCTGGCCCTCATTTCAGGCTGGAGCAGGAGCCCTTGGGGTCCTAGCTGTCATACCCTCATTTTACATTAAGGAAACTGAGGCTCAGAGAGGGGAATGTGACTTTCTGCAGCCATTGGGTGTGGCCATTGGGTGGCAGAACCAGTCCTGGAACTAGGGCTGTGCCCCTTGTGGGTGTCCAGGGGAGGGCAGGCTGGCAGCCTCCCGCCAGCTCACCCGCCCCTGGGGCCTGTGCTCTCACACAGTTTTGGCATTCAGCATGACGGAAGCGGCAATGACTGTGAACCCGTTGGGAAACGGCCTTTCATCATGTCTCCACAGCTCCTGTACGACGCCGCTCCTCTCACCTGGTCCCGCTGCAGCCGCCAGTACATCACCAGGTTCCTTGAGTAAGTCCTCCAGCACCGGGCCCCTGCGCCTTAATCCATGAGGTCGAGGTCTGCTGGGAGAGCTGCAGACAGTCACATTGGAGGGGTAGAGGGAAGCAGAGGGACAAGGTCTTGATCTGTGAGGTCAAGGTCTAATGGGGGAGATGCAGACAGTCATACTGCAGAGCCGGGGTAGAGGGAAGCAGAGGGGCACCTGGCAAAGATGTGGTGCTGGCGTCCCAAATGTCCTCCTCGAAGGGACACCTGAGCTTGAACTTGGAGGAGGAGCGAGAATTCACACATATGCAGAAGGGAGAAGAATGGCGTTCCTGGTAGAGGAAGCCTGAGAAAGGCCTGCAGCCGTGAAGGAGCAGGAGAGCTTTTCAGGGAATGGCAGAACCCTGAGCAAGGCTATGGGAGCCAAGGCTGTGTAGAAAACGAGGCTGGAGGAAGCGAGGGTCGGTCACAAGGTCCAGTGAGAGGCAGGAAGAAGGGGCCACTAAGGGAACTGAAATGTGAAGCTTTCTCCTTTTTTTCATGTTCTCTTCATTTGTTCTGGTGTTTTTGTTGTTGTTGTTTGTTTATTTTTTGAGACGGAGTCTCGCTCTGTCTCCCAGGCTGGAGTGCGATGGTGTGATCTTGGCTCACTGCAACCTCTGCCTCCCAGGTTCAAGAGATTCTCCTGCCTCAGCCTCCTGGGTAGCTGGGACTACAAGTGTGCACCATAATGGCTGACTAATTTTTGTATTTTTAGTAGAGATAAGGTTTTGCCATGTTGGCCAGACTGGTCTTGAACTCCTGACCTCAGATGATCCACCCACCTTGGCCTCCTAGAGTGCTGGAATTGCAGGCATGAGCCACCGTGCCTAGCCTGCTCTGGTGTTTTTTGTTTTTTTTTTTAATTTGCGATTTAATGTTGTTCTAAGTAAGAAAAAGTTTTAAATTTAAATTATTGGCATAAATTGTACCATTCATCTTTATTTTGTTCAGTGCCAGTTTTAAATGCAAATATAAGAGTATAGCTGACCCTTGAACAACTTGGGGGTCGGGGTGCTGACCGCTGTGCAATTGGAAATCCATGTATAGCTTTCCACTCTCCCAAAACTACTAATAGCCTACTGTTGACTGGAAGCCTTACTGATAACACAAACAGCTAATACATATTTTGTATGTTATATATAATATATACTGTGTTCTTACAATAAAGTAAGCTAGAGAAAAGCAAATGTTATTGGAATCATAAGGAAGAGAAAATATGTTCACTGCTCATTAAGTGGAAGTGGATCATCATAAGGGTCTCCCTCATCCTCTTCATGTTGAGTAGCCTGAAGAGGAAGGAGAAAGGCAGGGGATGATCTCAGGGGTGGCAGAGGTGGGAAAAAATCCACATATAAGTGGACCTGTGCAGTTCAAATCCATGTTGTTCAAAGGTCAGTTGTATTAACATGTATGCAGAGTCACCAAAATTACATAGTTCATCTTTTGTAGCTGATATTTACCAGATGATGAGATAGAATAAAACTATCTCAACTGGTTTCATCTCACTCCTTGATATGGGCACAATTTACCCAGGCTCTCTACCTTTTGTTACCAATGAGGAAGGAAAGACTGAAAGGAGAAGGAACTATGGGGTTCTCTTTCCTCCCATGTCTTCATTTTCTGCATAGCGATTGGCTAATACAGGGGTGTTAACATGAGTAAGAAAGGACGGTGGGGCTCCTTGGTCATTGTCTTCTTTCTGCATTTGAAGTAAGTCTGGTTCAAGTGGAAAATGCAGCCTCTGGGCCTGTCACTGCCCCCCATCCCTTACTCAGTTGTTGACATAACATGTTTATCATCTGATAGTTTTGAGTCTCACTGAACTCCTACGCATTATAGATTCTGAGCTCATGGACCAAAGTAAATGTTAGATGCAAGTAGGGCAGCAAGGAATGCTGGACACAGACATTACTTTTCTCTCCTCTGCTCAGACATAGGCTCCTTTGTCCCATAAGACCTTGCTTACTGGCTGGGTGTGGTGGCTCACGCCTGTAATCCCAGCACTTTGGGAGTCCAGGCAGGTGGATCACTTGAGGTCAGGAGTTTGAGACCAGCCTGGCCAACATGGTGAAACCCCTTCTCTACTGAAAATACAAAAAATTAGCTGGGCATGAGGGCAGATGCCTGTAATCCCAGCTGTTCAGGAGCCTGAGGTAGGAGAATTACTTGAACCCGGGAGGCGGAGGCTGCAGTGAGCCAAGATTGCACCACTGCACTCCAGCCTGGGGAACAAGAGCGAAAAAACTCTGTC